ATTCTGAAAATAACTTAAGATGGTTGGTACGTTTACCTATTATGTATTGCTATTTAACCTTATCTCTCTCTCATCATCCGCTACTAACAATTAGGTATTATATTGCTCTCTTGCCAATTGTCATTAAATATATATATAAAGTAGAATAAACTCTTCTCTCACAAATAATCTTGATTCCATCCACTAGAACTCAGGTTGATAAGTTAACGTTCAAAAGTAATTTATAAAACACACCCAAAATCCCAAGGATGGAACGTCTCAATGCAATGAAAAAATATGTTGTTCAATATTCTGTACCATACTAGATCACTATCATTTGGAATTGTCTTTTTGGCTTTGTTCATTGTTTCTAATGATCCTTGTCCGAACGCATGTTTTTCAAAAGTAATGCTTATACATACATGCCTACGAAATGTCAATGATAATTTGTTTAGAATAAAAAAAGAGAAAAAATGTGCAAAGGTGATATTAAAACCAGTTGTCGTCACAAACGTGAAGTGTAAAAAACTAAAAACATTTGAACATTTTTGAAACGACTTTGGCTCTGATTAAAATCCATGACATCCAAGACATTGTTCAAAGTCAATGTCGAACGGACATTGTTGACAGTAATTGTTAGTCGGACATTGTTCATCGTCAATGTCCTAAGGATATTGCTCAACGTCAATGTCGTAAGGACATTGTTCAACGTCAATGTCGTAAAGACATTGTTCAACGGTAATGTCGTTTGCACATCATTCGAAGCCAATTTAGTGAAAACATTGTTCATTAACAATGCTGTTCGGATATTATTCATTGTCGATATGGTTAGGACCTGAATCACAGCTAATGTTGTGAAAACATTATTTTACGTTAATGTCGTTTGCAAAATGTCAAAAGTCAATGTCATTTGGATATAGTTCAAAGTCAGAGAGTTTTGACACCACATTGTTCACATGATTCCATGTCAGGTTCAGTTTCTAATATTTGAAGCGAGGATCTTTTTCTTTTGTTTGGTGCAGGAATATTGTGAATTGTGTTACGTTCAAAGTTTTGAACGATTCTCGAATAAAACTTTTCCTGTAGTAATAGTAATTTAACAATGAAAGACTGTTGTAACAAAAACTTGCCGTTGCTAATGGAATCGAAGATCTCACTCTATCTGAATGTAACATAACTAATATTTCTGCTGCTTCTTCATTAATTTCAAACAAAAGTTGTCTTATGATTTCAAACAGGTTTTTACCATACAGTATCAATGTAGCGGAGTATTAAATCTAAAAAAAAATTTTCCAGAAAAGCAGTAAAACAAAAAATAAATCTGTTGCAGATATCAGAGTTTACTCACGATTGCTTCAATTATCTCAATACGTCTCACGTTTCTTTCTTCTGCTAGTTCGCACGCAATTTTTACGCACATTTCCAAAGCATATTTTTGTAAAATTGATCGGAAATTTCCGCGTAACATATCAATAATGCTCATGGAGAGCAATTCATGATTTTTCAAGAGTTCGAAGTATTGTTCGACTATGGCTAATGTTACATTATTTTTGAATAATGTAATAGGCGATCCGTGGGGAACTAGCATTGATAAATGTTCAATTTCATTATGTTTTGGTGTCTGAAAATGTATGTATGAAATGAAATACTGCTGTGTATTGCTAAACAAAAGTAAGTTCCGTATATAAATATATAAATGAAAAAAAAAAAAAAAAATATAAACAACAGAAGATCATATCTTCAAACTCGGAAAAATAGTTACCTGTTCAGTGATCACTGCTTCTCTTCCTTCACGATGTTGTATTTCCTCTACTTTATAGACCATTCCCAATCTTAAAATGATGTAGTGAGTATAGTATATTTAATTATAAAAAAAAACGTAAAAAAATTTCATTTCAAGCTTTTTGCAACTGAGCCCATTTGACATTTCATATCACCGTTATTTTTAAAATGTTAAGGCTATTATCAAGCCGCCTTATCTTTTTATGATTTTATTTAAGAGCCATGAGATTTTGTGCGAAGTTTCTTTCGAAGTAATTTATGTCTTTGAAGATTCCGTACGGTTAAGGATCTCATTTCCCAGCCGTATTGACTAGGCATTGTGTGTGTGCTCTACAAAAAATAACTTGCCGCCGTATTTTTTTTCATAACTTGGTTTTCGATTCATGAGGTTTTGTGCGAGTTTTCTTTTGAAGTATTATATGTCTTTGAAGATACCGAATGTTTAAGGCTTTCATTTTGCCGCCATCATATAATTTTTCTTTTGAAGTAATTTATGTCTTTGAAGATTCCGTACGGTTAAGGAATTCATCTGGCCGCCGTATTGACTAATCATTTTGTGTGTGCTTTACAAAAAATAACCTGCCGTCGTATTTTTTCATTATTTCATCGAAGAGCTATGAAATTCCTGTATGTGTTGTACCACGGATTAGAAACTAATGGCACAACCTTAACAATTTCTAATTATATGATGATATGATGTATGACACTACTTGGCTAATTGCTGCTGCAATACCATCAATCAGCTTAATCTGATGCTAAAAAAACCAGTATCTATCAAATAATTAAGAAAAACAGTAAAAACTTCAAGTCAATTTCAACAACTTCAATGAAAATGATTTTCCTAGGTGGACTTCAAAATTTCACAAAATCTTCAGAAAACTTTTTAATTTTCATTACAGTTAAACAATAGAATACAACATGTATCAGAATGGACTTCACAATTTTTGAGAGTCCGCAGTTTTTCATTCCAAAAATCAGATCATAAACAGTCAACAATCATTCTTGATCGCTGTTGCTGCTGCTGCTACAACTTAAGACAATAGGGGATTCTGAAGTGAGGTTGACATCAAAGACAGCACAGTTTGTGGGCATCAACAAATAAATATGATTTTCATAGTTGATACATTTAACATGATGAGTGTGTTGTTCGTACTTTTTGCCAGTGGAATTAGTTCTTCCAGGTCTGCCTCTTGAACAGAACGGCGAAAGGGTCACTTTCATTCGTTCAAACAGCTCTTGCTCTAATGGAGCATCATTAAAAAGTAACCATTTTTTGAGAAATAGTTCCATATCATCATACTGTAAATATAAAAATATAAAATATTGTATATGATTGGGCTTACCGCCAACACTTTATAATGAATGTTGGTTGTATTGTTGAGGGGCTTCAGGGTTATTCCTGCTCTCCATTTAACTCCTTCGTCTAATACAACAACGAGTTGGTTTTTATCCAGATACAATGAAACATTGTCTCTCGACAGAGCCAAAATTTGAAAGTTCAGTTCAACTGAAAATGTGTGTTTTATTATAGGAAAAACACAATACAACTTACTGATGTCACCAATTTCTTTAAATACAATCTGATTAGCCAAATGTTTATCGCACTTACAAGGCTGGCTACTCAAACGACTACAACGATTGATCTTACTATTGGTCGAATCAACATTTTTTAAAGACCAGTTCCACTCACTATCTGCAAGCGTTACCTGAAAAAATCACAATAGCTTCAAATGATACAAATTAGTAACAAACCAAAGAAACATAGGCCCTTGATATACTGATTCCATTGTTGATGAGGAATTTTTTCATGAGTTGTTCATCGTGGGCCAGAGTTTCGTCATCAGGTTCACAATCATTCAGATAACGATGTTGGTCGCGTTGCACGTTATACGTTGCAGATATTAGTGTGTCCGCAGTTGTTTTTTATCTTCGGTTTAATTACCCAAGTTCGAGGTAGCCAGGTTCAATTTTAACTTATCTCTTATTTCGTGTTTTGCAATGACTTCTAATCTCGCATATTATTTGATGCCTTCTGAGATGTACAAAGGGCGAGTTGTGGTCGAAGGACCTTCTTACATTTTATGTGTCGAAAGTGGCCTTTTTCAAAAAAAGAAGGTGTATCATGTTGATTATGTACCTAAGGGCTTTATTGCAAAGTCCCTTCTCTGCGTTACTCCACCTTTACCTGAAATCACTCTACAAGACGTGGATTTTTTCATATCTAGCTTGAAGGAGACTGACTTATTACCTCTGAGTGCATGTGAGGGTTCCAAACTGAGAAAAATTGCAAGACTTCTAGATAATGAAGTGTTTGGTGGCAAATTATTCAGTCACAAAAAAAATCTTGCTTTCAATTTATTAGCAAAGTATTACCCGGCAGTTGTTCATAATCATGATGGTGTTCCGCAACCTGTTCGTCATGCTCTAACTGAGAATTTTCCAAGAAGTGTAAAAGTCTCAATTTACATCAGACTCTTTTTGGATCTTGCAAGTGATAAAAAAGAGAGTAGGAAGCTGAATGAAAGATATTTTTCTAAATTCATCTCAATTCTTATACATGAAATGATTCATATATATGAGTTCCTCTATCTGGACTGTTTGAATGAGACAGACTGCTTGGTCGAATACGTTTGTTCGAGTATGAAAGAACACGGAAGATTTTTCGTTCACTACATGAACGCTATCAATTCAGCAGTAGGTTTTTCTTTCATCAGTACCTCCTACGACTTCGAATAGTCAGAAGATTCCATGATTTTTAGACTTGTTCTGATTTGTTTTTTCTTAATTATGTTCTGTATCAAAATAGTTTTTAGGGTTTTGGATTTTTCGTGTTGTTGCAATGTTTCTTTACTTTTACTTCTTATTCCGAAAACTTTATGTTTTCTTGAAACTATTATTGCTGATTGTTATTTTTTTGATTTTGGAAATAAACTTTTTTTACAAACCTTTGTCATTTTTATAGTTACAAAAAATCGTTATTCTTTATTCATGGTTACAGAAAAGTTTAAAAAATAGCTAAAAAAACATTAAAACAGATATTTTTTTCAGAAATAC